TATATATATATATATTACCAGTTGGTTCTTCTGGATGGAAAACAACCTCATTCACAGACCCAGCATGACCAGGGAGCTTATAAAGGATCCTACGGGATGTTGTGTCCCAAATATACACAAACCTACAGCACAAATACATCACATTAACCTCAAACATAATCAGACTGCAAACACTGCATACACAAAAACACCCATACCTGTCAGCAGAACCAGCTGCAATCTTACTCCCATCAGAAGACCAAGAGCATCTGAGAAGATTCTAAAACATACACACACAAAAAAAAAACTTTCATTACAAAAACCTTTGGCCCGGCAGTATGAACTTCCAGCTCAGCATCAGTAATGTTCATTATAAGAATGAACTGATAATTCACCCCTGATTAAAAGTCTAACCGAAAAGAAAAAAAAAAACATTTGATAGCAAACACAGTGGAAATTATTCTTTAATAAACAAATAAACCATTAAATATAATCTTTTTTTTTGTTGTTGTAAATATACAGAGAGAATTGTGCTTACCTTCTCAAAGTTATGGACATTTCCCTGAAAGATCTTCACACACCTCTCCTTTGGTGCAAATGGACGGATATCCCAGACACACACTGTTCCAGACACACATAAAACATCAGCATATGTAGTAGACGTACACAGTCAGTCATGCACACATTATAACAGGTACACATACACTACCATTTAAAAGTTTGGTGTCAGTAAAATATATACACATTTATTTAGAAATTAATACTGTATTCAGCATATAAGTAACGGTTTTAAAAATGTATAAGAAATGTTTCTTAAGCACCAAATCAGCAAATCAGAATGATTTCTGAAGAACCATGTGACACTGGAGTAATGATGCTGAAAATTCTGATTTGCCATCACAGAAATAAATAAAAAAAATTAATATATTAAAATATAAAAAGGTTTTTTATAGTACTGTTTTCAAACACATTAAAAAAAAATCATACTGACCCCAAACCTTTGCACACATGCATTTAGGCTTACCGCTGTTATCCATTGAGTTAGACAGAAGGTAAGACCCGTCTGCACTGAGACTCAGACCTGTCACAGAGTCTCCATGACCCTGCATACTGTAAATCAGTTTGTTCTGTCTGAGGTCCCATACCTACAACACAAAACACATACACACAGCATTAAATATGTACAAAAACATATTCAGGCACAAGAGCCCAGACATCCGTTGCTGGATGTCATTGTCGATGCCTCCTGAGATGATCTGGTCACTGGTATCATTGAATGTTACACTAAGAACCTGATATGTGTTCTGGAAAGTGTGAACAGAGGCCTTCTTCCTGATGTCCCACAGCTACAATAACACATGAACAAAGAAGTACTGAGGACAGTTCAAATTCTCTCATGTTTTATCTAGACATTTCAATCAACAATAAAATGAAAAAGACTCACTGTAACAACTATCAAACATTATCATAATCCAGACATCAAAATGTATTTTATTTACTGGCTATATGCCTTTTCATACAAGACAGGACAGTAGAGATTTTTGACAGAAATGGGAATGGGTTGGGCTCACAAACCAGGTCGCATTCGAACCAATGTCCCTTTGAGCACATCAGTTTGATACAATTCATGAGCGTCACACAAAAAATTGTCAGTTTCTCTTCAAACAATAAGGGTGTGCATTTTCTCTGTAAACTGAGCTGTAGCAATTGAATGGTGGTGGTGGCATAATGGTTAAAAGATCTAAGCTAATATCTGGATCTAAGGAAGGATAGAGGAAGGATACAGAAAATTGCTGAACTGCCATCAACATACTCAACCTCTTACAAAACCTCAGACAGCTCCATGACGCATTTGATGTGCTCTATGTATGTGCACTGGTCAATGTGTATGTGAATAAAAGCCTATAATAAATCAGTTGTGCCATATAAAGCAATAATTTCTGTTCTGAAGACTTGGATTAAACCACTTGATTCATATGGGTTACATTTACTATGTGTATTTGTAATTTTTGAAGCATGAAAATTTTGGTTGCAAAGACTTTTACAGACCTTAATCAAGGTAGCGCAATATTCAATTTTTGACAGGAATGAAAAAGAGGCTGTGACTGATAAAAGTACAGTGTGTTTAACGGATTGTACTGTTGTTTACAACATAATGATTGTTCAACTGACAAAACGTTTTCCGGAAAAATATTCAGTAGACAAAAACACCACTAAAAAGGGTTGTGAGTTGTGAAAATTATACTATCTAAAAGCTTTATACAGTGCGTGCCATTGTAAAGACTGTAAGTCTATTGCTCATGTTATATTCAGTATGCCGTCTAACCTGATTAAGGTCTACTGGATAGACAAAAATGATGATAGAACATTTAAAATGTCTTCATTTGTGTTCCGAAAAATGACACGAGCATGAGTAATTAATGACAAAATGTTCATTTTTGGGTGAACTATCCCTTTATAGCCATGTTATGTTTTAACACATTTAATGCTGCAGCTGCACTGCCACTATATCCTTGGTCTAATCAAAAATGTAAAAATTGTAATAGAGCTTTTTTTTTCATTAAGTCAGAGAGTTTCAAGTCTAGACTTGGTGAACTGAATTTACCTTTACAGTTCCATCATCACTGCCCGTACAGGCCAGCTGTGGGCCGCGCCGAGCCGGAAAACATGAGTTCACAAAGGACGTGTGTCCTTTCAGACGCTTCACACGCTCCCCTGTCTCACTGTCCCACACACACACCGTCTTGTCCGTACTGGCTGAAAAGAGCAGACTGGAGGACACAAACAGTAATTAATGACAAAATTTTCATTTTTGGGTGAACTATCCCTTTATAGCCATGTTATGTTTTAACACAACATTTAATGCTGCAGCTGCACTGCCACTATATCCTTGGTCTAATCAAAAATGTAAAAATTGTAATAGAGCTTTTTTTTTCATTAAGTCAGAGAGTTTCAAGTCTAGACTTGGTGAACTGAATTTACCTTTACAGTTCCATCATCACTGCCCGTACAGGCCAGCTGTGGGCCGCGCCGAGCCGGAAAACATGAGTTCACAAAGGACGTGTGTCCTTTCAGACGCTTCACACGCTCCCCTGTCTCACTGTCCCACACACACACCGTCTTGTCCGTACTGGCTGAAAAGAGCAGACTGGAGGACACAAACACACACTTAGTATGTGATAGATTGATGCATTTCTAGAAGAAGAATATATAACCTACAGTATAAAAGTTTAAAATGACAGTGTAAATGATGCAGGATTTTTTTTTTTTTTGTCTTTTACACAAACGCACCTGCCATCAGTGTTATAATGAAGCTCCATCACAGCTCCACTGTGGCCTTTAAGTGTTGCATAGTTTTCACAGTCTCCATATACATTCCACAGCACTACAAGAACATGGGCATTAGACACAATCACCAACAGCAATTCAAACACACATGTGAATCATTACATCAATACTAACTACACATAAAAAATAATATATAATAATAAAATAACAAATGTCATGTGACTCACAGATGAGGCGGTCATATCCAGAGGAGGCTAACGTGGCTCCATTAGGGTGAAATTTGCAGCAGTATACTTCACCTTCATGACCAAAGAGCAGCATTATAGGAGCCTGCACACTGGAGCTGCGTGGGGGGCCCTGACATTAACACAAATAGACACACAGACACACACACACACACACACACACATACATACAGATTAATGTTTGTTTATGCAGGTGCTGTTATAAATAAAGGATGATGAAGCTTCCCCCCAATCATGCACCCACTAAACTTTGACTGCAGATGGCAATGTGTTTTGGAATCTAAAATCTGTTTTGAACAAATCCTTTTCGTTCGCTTCTATGCACAATATTTTTTTCATTCATTGTAGTCTCTTTTTTGTTGTTGTTATTGTGGGGAAAAAAGTGTGCATAAAGCTTGAACTTATAGTAGAGTGTTAGAAGTTTAGTTAATTTACTTATATTTGACCAAATTTAACATTCATAAATGCAAGTTCACTTATAAAAAATAACTTTATGATTTTGTTGACTTAAGTAAGCCTGTACATAATATTAGAGACTCTTTAAATAAGAAAGCTGTTAAGACTTTAAAAGTTTGTTAGCTTTACAAAGAATGCATTTGATATTATTATTCCCGACTGTATTTATATTTTTGTATTATTTATTTATTTCTGTAGTTGTTTTTCTCTTTAATTTTTGTTTGCACAGACGTACAATGTTCGATATTTGAATTAGAACGAAAGTGAACGTAGCCTGCTGTAGAAAGATTCACTGAACGAATCGTCTAGGTAAATTGATTCAAAAGATTCAAATCAGTAGGATGAACCAAAGTCCCATAAATACAAACGCTTGAGCCCCAGCTAGTCTTTTCCTTCGAATTCAGCTCAGCCGCTCAGTCTTACCATAGCAGAGAGCTGGAACTGCGCTGCAGCCACCAGCTCTGTCCGGGGCCTCTTCACTCCGGCGGGAACGACTGCCATCTCTGCGCCGCGCTTCTTTGGTTCGATCGATCATTGTTGAGAAAAATACTCAAAACCCGAAAATAAATGAAAAACTATCAGATTCTTTTCAAATTAATGAGTTTTTCGAGCCACCAACCACCACCGAGCTACACACCCGGTTACACGAAGGCTTCTGATTGGCTGGCTCACGCACAACGCGATCTTATTGGCTACTGTTAAATCTCTGAACCGGAAGACAATGCACTGCCACTGACGGAACTCATGTTTCATCCAAACAAGGGGAATGTATTGCTCGAAATGTATTTACGTGTTGCGTTGGGATGTTTTGTAGCGTATTAGTAACGTGGCTCTCGGCATTTTTTATTGGATAATGATTTTTGTAATTAAAACTGCGACGATTTAACACGTGCACTTTGCAGTCATCTTGTAGATTCTTTTGAAATTACGCTAAACTCTCCTAGACCTAAGAAGAAGAAAACAAAACTTTCCTAGACCTGATTCGCAGTCCATCAGGTAAATTCATTGGTCTTGGCATATTCTAATCTGGCATGAGATTCATTACATAAACACTAACGATGGCATCTTTAGATTTCATTTTGTTTTATGCTTCAGCATGACCAGTTAAAGAACTAGTTACAGAAAGATGGCAAACCATACGTGTACCTCTCTGTAGGTGTGATGGCAGAGGAGCGGATGAGAGAGCCAGCTGGTCTGGATGGACTGCCGCCTATGTACAGCATTCTGAAGGGAGAGGTTAGATTTAAATCCCCATATGCAGAATATAAAATCACATTGAAATGTCCTCTTATTGATTTATTCACCTTCATGTTTTCTTATTTACTTAGGTAGTTTCTGTCACAACATACGGTGCTTTTGTTAAGATTCCAGGATACAGAAAACAAGGTAAAGTTGGAGAGTTATCAAGATGTGTGTTCTTGTTGAAATGAAGATGAACACACAAGTATTTTTGTTTATTTGTGTTTGCATTGGCAGGTCTGGTTCATAAGAGTGAGATGTCATCCTGTCGGGTGGATAACCCAGCTGAAATTGTTGATGTAGGGGAGCACGTATGGATAAAAGTAATTGGCAGAGAGGTACATTCAATTTGCATGTACGCAAATACAACAATATCAATGTAATTTTATACTGTTACCAGCATATTTTCATTGCATATACTAAAAGTTAAGTTTATGCTGTGGTTTTACATGCAGCACTGATTAAACATTGGTTTAGTGTTCTTATAATTCGGATACAGTATCTTAATCATGCTTTTTGATTTCCATCCACTATCAGATGAAAGATGATAAAGTAAAACTGTCCTTCTCTATGAAATCTGTCAATCAAGGCACTGGGCGGGACTTAGACCCCAACAATGTTATGGCAGAGTAAGTGGTTTTATGGTACATGAGTGCTTTGTTTGAGCAAACCAAACCTTGTACTTATAGGAGGTTAAGTATGGTAATTCATAACCATACCAAATTGTGCATGCATAAATATTCACACACAGACAGGACGAACGTCGCCGGAGACAGTTTAGAGATCACACTGAGCAGAAGATCACGCTGGAGGCTGTGCTCAACACCACATGCAAAAAGTGTGGCTGCAGAGGTATGAACCTCCAGGTTATGTCAATCTGACCCAATTCCAGTGTACGCTAGACTTTTGACAACGTATTTTTATCTTAAACTAAACCCTAATGCTATTTCAACAAGATTCAGCCAAATTAAAAACATAAGTCATGTTTTTCTTCAGTACCTTGACTTGAGTACATGTTTTGGTCAAATAAAGAAAATCTACTGAAAAACAACTCTAATTTAGAAAATATGAAGGACAGTGCTAGTCTTTGTGACTTTATTATAAAAAAATAATATTCTGATTGTCATTTCAGTAGTTACACTGCCATTTAAAAGTTTGGGGTCAGATTTTTAAAATGTTTTTGAAAGAAGTCTCTTATGTTCACCAAGGCTGCATTTCTTTGATAAAATAATACATTTTAAAATGTAATTTATTCCGTTGACAAAGCTGAATTTTCAGCTTTATTACTCCAGTCTTCAGTGCCACATGATCCTTCAGAAATCATTCTAATACGCTGATTTGGTGCTCAAGAAATATTTCTTAATACTATTAATGTTGAAAACAGTTGTGCTGCTTAATATTTTTGTGGAAATTGTGATACATTGAGTGTCAATTTTAGATCTCACATTCATTGTCTTTATTTGCAGATTGTACTTTTAATCCCTGAACATCTGTTATGACAGTGTTTAAGTCATAAATAATGACTTGTATGTCTGTTTGTATGTAAGGTCACTTTGCAAAGGATTGCTTCTCCCAGCCTGGACTGCAGTACAGTTTAGTGCCAGAAGAAGAGGAGGAGGAGCCGCCGCTGGCCAGTCAGCAAACCCAGTCAGAGCCCCAGAAACGTAAAAAGGTACAGACACACCTCTTTGACAGCAGAATTATTGCACCAGATGACATGATGCCTGTAAGCGGTTGTGTAACCCTGCTTTTGTTTTACTTGTTGCCAACTTTTGCAATAGTTCCTTGTTGCAGACTTCTTGATCTGCCTTCCATTTGCATGCTCATGACGCCCCTTTGCATTTTTCCTGCAGGAAAAGGCAAAGAAAGAAAAGAAGAAAAAGAAAGAGAAGAAAAGAGACAACTCTTCATCTGATAGCTGTGATGAAGATGCCAAACGGCCAAGGCATTCACACACACATTCAGAAAAGAAGAAAAAACACAAGAAACACAAACACAAGACAAAGTGATCATTTTGGTTTGCAAAATAGTTGTGATATGCATGTACAAGCTTGTGCAAGAACAGGTTTTTTTTCTGCATGTACATCAAGATTAAATCTATCTAAATGATTTCGCAATGTATTTTTTGTTAATATTGTTTGGCCATTAAAAGTTACTGGCTTCATGTGTGAAGGTTAAAAGGTTCACTGCGCAACCTCCAAATGGCCTTTCACCCAGAAACACACAGACACAAGATCCAGTTGCTTGATTTAGAACACATGCGCGTTACCCAGCAGACACTGGAACATGCTTAAATTAGAAAGACCTCACGGAATTATAACAGTGTTACACTAAGTCCTGTTAAACAACAAAATCACACATGGCACTGGAGTGCTTGATGTAAATGTTGACACAATAAATTGCACAAGGTCAATTTGGAGCAAATGTCATTTATTGTAGACCAAAGGCATATGCCATAACACTGACTGAAGAAGCATATCACACACCCAGTATATGAGCTCTAATACAGACATCTGGAGGTATGAAAGTGGAATTTTATTCAGTGTTTGAGGAACTGTGCAAATGAAACACCACAGAAAATCCATTGGAAATGTACATAACCATTGATGAGGACAGGTTGTGACTGAGGTTTCCCTTTATTCCCCCTTTACATAGTGTCGTGTGGATACAACGTCACCAAGCGTCAATGTCTGTTAATAAAAGAGAGGTTGGCCTGTTGATGTACATTCATTCAGTCAAACACCCATAAATATTGGCAAAAGTAATTACTTTAAATTGCTTTTGCTGACTGTTCTTATAATTCTGTTCTCAGCCAAAAGAGGCACTCGCTGCAAGTAAACAATACTGACCAGTATGAGGCTGTTGTCATTGACATCTCGGACCAGGGTTGTCTCTTTACCGTCCCATTTCTGAACATGAACCAATTTGCCTCCATCTACAGTTACCACAGACTGATGGACAAACAGAAGCAGCAGGGTAAAGGTCAAAAGACAAACTGTTCTTAATTGGAAAACTGTCTCATTTTTACTCTTGCTACCCAGGAGCAGCGATGAGTGGCGTTTCTATGCTTACATTAATGACTGACCCGATGAATGTCATGGGATAGGTCAATCTCCCACAGGGGCTTCATAGAAACCCTTGTATCCCACCAACAAGACCCTATTGTTATTCAAGATGAGCTTGCATGTCTTTCACCCAATTCACAATGTGTCAGTCATGAAATTCTACGTGCCTTTAGAAATCTCAAAGCACGTGACTACTGAAAGTGGGACTAATGTGTGCTCTGTGCACTGCACATTGAGATTTTATTACCTTGACTTTACGGTCATCTGCAGTGGTCTCGTCAAATTCTTCTCCCAGTTTGAAATTGATTTCTGTGGTTTTGAAAGTGCTGATGGTCTTAAGTGTGATGACGTCGCCCTCCAAGGAAATGATGGTTGTGGGCTTGGTCATACTGCCAACCTGACGCGTGGCAAAGCCCACGCCTGATAAACACAACACACACACTTTATAAAAGGTATGAAGTCATTTCAACAATCCACATGCAGAGAAATTCACATGGACAGCATCAAGAGCCAATGATAATTTTAAAGACTGGTCTGTACTGTAAAGAAGTTAAATATTAAGTATAATTAATTATTATTAATATTTTAATTTTACAAATTTGAAACATTTCTAAGGGTTTAATTAAATAAAGCCCCTAAATATAAAATATTTTAAAAATAATTAAAAAAAAATCTATAGAATTTTACTAAGTCTTTAAATATGAAATATATTTTCTAATAATTTTAAAATTAAAAATCATTCTAAAGGGACCACCACTTATTAGAGAAAATGCAAAAGAAGAACGAGCATCTGCATAGCTTAAGGGCAGTATAGTAATAATTAAAGATTGCATATATATTCAGAGGTTAGTCACGAATTAACAAATGTCTGCAAATAACCAAACTCTGGAACGGTCAAAATGGTCAAATCAGCACACGTGCAGTTTTGGGTGAATGCAGCAATTACTATTGATTTGTTCAGCAAATACTGTGAGGGAGTATGTGTGCAAATGCAGACGGGGCAGACTCTTCTTTGACCACAGACAAAGAGCAGAAAATCAGGGCTCATTGCAGTTCGCTGAAGAGCAGTGAATTTGAAAGCGGTTGGTCGAAAGAAAAAAACACCCACTTTGTCTCACCCACACTTGCCTCCCTCCTTCCCTCTATCTCCATAGAGTTGCACGCTGATTGATTTATTCCCCCCTCATCTTCCACTCTTAAGCTACAGGTCACTCAACACTACTTCAAAATCACAAATACTACACAACTGGCCAAAAAATGGCTGGCAAGCATCTAAGACACATTTCCATATGTTTTGTGTAAAAAACATCAAGGTCACGATATAGTTCAAGTTCTTTAGGCAGTATGTACCTTTTTTTTCTCAAAAACAAGTTGGCAAAATAAAGGGCTCATTGTATTTTATACAAGAGAACCGCAGTAGCTCTACAGTCACTCTACACTACAGCATGAATCTGGTTGTGTGTGTGAAAGCACGTGTGTGTGAGGTTCATCGAAGGAGACCCTCCTTGCACCACATGCACTCCATCTTAAACACACCCATGCACACATAGTAGCACAGATGCACCTGCACAATAAATGTTCCTCAGATCACATTTCCCACTCTGAAGCTATCAGAAACACACACCCAAATTACATGTGCTTGCATCAAAAGGCACACCCTATGTTTAGCAGTAAAGCAATACACACCGCATACATCTACAGCAATTCACCCCCTCCTTACTCACCGAGGGCTTTCATGTAGTCATCGAAATTTTTGCTCTCCTTTAAGTTCCATGTGCCAACAAAAACGTCTGCCATGTTTAGAGCTGAATCAGAGAACAAGAGCAAAGAATGAGAGCAAGAAAGAAAGAGAGAGTGAGAGAGGAGGGTAAGACAGCACCACTGAGCTCCTGCAATCTTACTGGCCGATTTATAACTGCTGTTTGTGATGTCATCACTACAAGCATGGGGGGTGGATGAGGGAGGAGCAATGCCTGGAGAGGAGAGGAGAGATGACAGACGGGCGGCAGGGGGGTCGGAGAGATGGGGAGTTGGGAATTGTAGGAGAATCAATTATGAAAGATAGAATAATGAAAGATAAGGAAGTCATGGGACTGTGCAAAATCGATGCGACATGCGAAAACATTTCACTTTCTTTAGAGTTTCCATATGAATTCGACTTTAAAAATGTCTGCTAAATGAATAAATGTAAATGTATTGGTCCAAAATTGGCTCCCAATTTGGACTCTCAAGAAAGACTTGAGCCTTGTCCAAATACCCACACTTGCGGTCTTTGCACTTGACCACTTGATTACTTAAATTACGTATTTCCTGTATTTGGCCGAAGTCTTCAAGTGGGTGTGAAGACCACAAGTGTGTGTAGAACCTTTCATTACCCGATGGGACACTTATAGTGTTGTAAAAATGCAAGTGTTTACACAGCTTTATTTTAAATTTAATTTGAAATACTTTGCATTTTAAAATCAACTTCTAAATGTCTGTTCAGTAGTCCCTATAACATTACATAATTTTAATTTGTGGTGCTTCTAATTAAATGATAAAAAAATGTTGTACAAAATAAATATCACCACAACTCATCTTTGCACCAATAAAAGTAAAAACACTGTTTTCTACCAAATTATTTGTAATATCTAATTATTATATTAATATTTAACTTACATTGGAAAGGTTTCCGTGACCTCTCGCGAGATCTCGGCAAAAAGTCTCACGATTTATTTCCAGAACATGATGCATGATGGGATACACTAAGCCTCGAATAGCGCTCCGGAGCGGTATTCGAGATAGTGTGGGTTTAGTGTGCGTTAAGACCTGGGACAGTCTTGCGCACTTACTTCCTGTCGTGCGCACGCGCTCTCAAGTGGCCAAGACCTCGAGTGTGGGTATTTGGACAAGGGGTCAGTTTGGGATGGACTTATATTAAAATTATGTCTGATACAGATAAGCCAAAAATTATGTTAAAAAACAATAAATGGCTGATATTAAAATTCTATACTATTTGTCTCATTAAATAAAAAATAAAAAAATAAAATATTTTTAAATTCTACAAGTACATTTAAACATCACAACATTATAATATACAAATTTAAAAAGGATGTTCATTTTGAGATTTGCTAAAGATGATAATTAATAGCATTGTTCAATTGTTAATGTTTTAAAAAATAACTTTAAGTGAAAGCAAAGATACTCTAAATGTAAGAATGAGGCAAATGAGCATGCACTAAATATCCACCATCGACCCATACACAGAAAAAAATTGTGTTTTCACTCAGAAATTGCTATTAAATTTCATAAACAAACAATTATAAAGAAATTGCGAGTAACAGACTGCATTAAATATGAATACTAATGAAGTACATTTTTTATGTAAAATGTACTCCAATAATCGTTTTTACAGTCTAATGTTTACTTTAAAAAATGTATAGAAAATAAAATATCTAACTTTACTTTTCTGAGTCAGTATTTACAATGACTTTTTATCAAATGGTCTGAAGTTGTTTTTTTTTAGTGAATGTATAACGTCAGTTCCCCTTCCATTTTGATCAACATGTTAATTTTGTCACTGAAAACCTTTAAAATGTCTTATTTTTTGTAGAAATATGTGCTACAGTTGTTAAAAATAAAAGTCATTTTGTTTGATATTTTGTTCTTAACGTATTCATTTAGCAGATGCTTTTTATCAAAACTGACTTACAATTGAGGAACATTCTAAGCATTATCTAATGCATTGATTCATTTTAAGTGTGGCTTAGAGAGCAAGAAAGGGAGAGAGTGAGAGCGCAGTGTGGAGGGGGGAAGGAATGATAGATATGGGGCCAGGGTCAGGCCATATTCTTTTCTCTCTTGCTTTGTGTCTCTTTCTTTTACAAGTCACTGAGGACATGGCCTTATGTCGGAGGACTCTTTCTTCCCACCCTCTACACTCTTGGCTGTTTAGCTCAGTAAGAGGCAGTGAAGATCTAGCCGTATCAGCTGCTGTTTGTACAATAATCACCAAAACATTGCACCAGTAATGCTAAACCTCTTCCCCAGCCCATCCTTTGAGCAGCAAGGCTGAATTTACAAGTGTTTGTAAGTGAGGCCGCACAGTCTGAAACAGATGATTGTTTCAGCAAGTAGGCTATGTGTGGAACAGTTTTTCCACAAACAACCGCGGGAAGGATCTGAATACCAAGATTGCACACAATAAGGTCTGGGGTTAATGCTGAACTCTTGAATTTTTTATAGTTTGTATGTAACGTTAAGTTGAAGATTGTTATCAGAGAGCAGCTGTTTTATAGTTCATGAACATTAGACATCTGGTGTAGGTTCTTTTGATCAATAACAGCTATTTACTAAAAGCATAAAAAATTGTTATCAGTGAAATAAAGTAAAAAATAAATATTAGATGAAAAACTTAAACTTCCAAAAACATAAAAGAAAATTAGAAATCATGCAACTAAAATAAATACACTGCAGCTGAACTACTACAATGACTAAAATTAAAACTGAAAAAAAAAGCTATATTGACATATTTTAAAAAAGAATACAAAAGCACATAACAAAATTACTAAAAGCATACATTTAAATGAAAACTGCAAATATAAAAATAAAAGATCATTCTAAATATTAATGAATACTATAATAGTATATAAATAATACTAAATTAACACTGTAAGTGACTAGACAAACTATATGTCACTAGCAACTGCCTCTACAATCTATAAAACCCAGTTCATATCCTTAGAGGTTTATTTGGAGGAAACGTTCCAGGATTTCCGTTTGTACTCATCATTCCCCTGTGGGAACATGATGTGAAACGTTCACACATCCTTTAAAATATGCACCTGTTTGAGCATGTACAAATATGCACAGACACACACCCTTCTCTTTGTCACTTCTCACAGATATTTATATTTATACTTGATTATCTTTACAGCTATTATACCATACCATATATCTAATCTGCAGATTATTATCAACTGACATTGATCAATTACTGCTAAATTGTATTATAAATGCAAGATCTCCCATAAATTGCAGGTGTGTCAGTATTGACAGCATTCAGATGGTTTCTGAGTTTTGTAGTGTTTGTGGTTAAGTAAATAAATATTAGACTGAGGTGGCAAATCAAAGACATTTTGCACTTCACTGACAGTTACAAGTACTCTATTCCTGCTCTCACAAGTTTTTGCTGTTGACTTTGGAAGCTTGTATTATCCATGTAAACCAAATGATGTAAAATATAGGCCAGTTCTCTCAAAAGGACTGATGATATAACCTTATGTGTTGTATAACGCCACTTCTGGAATTATTTATAATATGCAGGTTTTCACCTTTATACACTTGGTATTTGAACACACACTCATAGACTGAGTGGACTGTCACTGTGTCTAACCCAACACAAATGTGTGACTAAACACGGTATGCAGAGTTAATGTGTTTTGACATTTTACATAAACAGGTGGTGGAGAGAAACAGGGGAAGAGAGAGAGAGAGAGAGAGAGAGAGAGAGAGAGAG